GTTATTTCAATGAAAGAAGGATTCTGTAATCAACCTTTTCCTCTTCCTAGCTATAATGGATTTTAGAATTGTCACCTTATCTCAGTCACTCTATACTGTAATTATGGATCAGTGCATTCAAAGCGATAGCCGAAGTTTATTTGTAAATTGCTTATCTTAGCACAGTCTCTGATTGTATATTATGTTAAATTTCTGGATTTTACCATTCTGATTGACCCAGACCGGCTGCTTTGACCCATATACTTGACCTGACAATCATTACACAGTATTTGATAGATTAGGTTATCTTGACTGATTACCTTTAGTGGATATTTTAGCCAACAAAGTTTCTGTCTGAGCGAGTTTGTGGATTTAAGTACCACACTAATCTTAGAGTGAAGGGAGGCGGGGGGGGAGATTGATCACAGAATCTTTGTTCATTAAGTCAACACCTAACACACATGTAATAGGAATGACGCAACAAGTATACCAAAGATGTAGAAACTTTTCGGCGACTACTAAAATGAAGAAGTGTTTGACTATATTATAAGTTTGAAAGTCCAGTCAGAAATATTGTCATCCAGTGTAGTTACGCTGTTGAAGACACTAAACAAGAATTGAACAACTCTATAATGAGTGTTTCACAGTGTTCAGCAATTCTTCAGCTGTCAGATAATTGAACAGAAATGACAATTTAAAACGCTACAATAGATTATGAAGCCAATTGAAGCTTAAAGCTGTTTAGAATAACTAACATTCAACCAATACAATTAAGTATATTCACCCTATCGTAGTTGATTTTCAAGGCCAAACTAGTGATGAGTAGATCCTCTTCAACTTCTAATCTCAATGCACAGCTGCAGCCAGCATTCATTAATGTCATGAACTTGGTGCCAGTATTAATCAAAGTATGATCTATAGTATTCATTGTTAGAAACTTTCCCTTCTTTCGACTTCAAGGACTAAATGTTCAAGGGGATCAGAATTAACATCTTTGATGTTAGATGATTGAAAGGGATCAATAAAACGTTTTGAAATTCGGGTTCTATGCTTATGGATGAGAAAACAGTCACAGTTGAATTAATTCAGTGGTAGCATCTTCAAATGTTGCTCTAGTTGATAAGGTTTATCATCTCTGTAAAAATACAATAGTATGTGCTACTAATGAGAATACATTTGAGTAGTATATAGGGTTGCAACTTCTACAGAAATCAAAAGAGTAGACGATTGACTGCTAAATACTTTGGATTGTGGAACATAGGAGATCAGTGAAGAGTATACAATGTTAGAAGAACACGTGGAAAAAGGATAAGAAACGGTTGTGCAAGTGAAATTATTATTAGAACATAATATTGATACCATGATCCTTTGTATGTTAGGGTATTTCGGAAGTTAACTATCGGTCGATGAGATAAAATGCTTTATGAACCTTGATTATTATTATTTCTTAAATTTCCTGTGGGTTCCTAGTGGAACATAAGACTTCAGTTGTACGTCACCATTTCACTATATTCTCTGTAGTCCTCTTCTTTAACCTGGCTCCACCACTGCCCATAACCTTTCATTTCTTCCTCACAACATCCCCTCTATGTCACCCTTAGCTGAGAGGTCCAACTCGTCGTTTCGCAATTGGCTTCCACTTGACGACCTGACCTGGCCTGACACGTGATGTCTGCAAATGGTCTGTTCACTCTATGTCCAGTCCAATCCATCTCCACTTACTTCGACTGCTTTTGGGTGGTTGGTTCTTTCTTCGTTGGTTCGTTTTCAGCCAGCCACAGTTCCTCCTTGTTTATTCTTATTGTACTAGCCATCTGATCTCTATCTTCAGTATCGAGTGCTCGAGCATAGGTGGCAGTTGTATATGTGATACATGTCTGTATTTTGTTGTAAATGCCTTTGGTAAGGTGCCAAGTCTCTCAACCATCACATAGAAACACTGACTGACTTGAATGACATTAGTGTTGAAAGTCCGGATTTTGTTCACGCTGTGTGCTGAGTGCAGCAGATCTCCACATTGATTGGTTTCAGGTTAATGAAGGTCAGTCTTGCTGTGTTTCCGATGCTGGCCGCTGTGACATCCTCGTGTTTGCTCCCTGTAGTTGAAACGATACTGCCTAAATAGGTGAAAAAGGCTAATTCCTTTAAGTTCTAACTGACCTCGCCCAGCTAGTTTCACCTATGTACGTGACCTCATGGTCATCATATGGAATTTGATAGATTAGATTGTTTTGGTGAAGTAGTTCTACCGGATCCTTAAGCCACCCGACAAAGCTAATCTCTGAGTGAGTTTGTAGGTTTAAATGCCACTCCAATTCTAGCCTTGTTAAGAATCTTAGGTAAAGTTTCTGATGTTCCTTCCTTATAAGTTAACACCATTCAGTCTGTTAACTCCTTTCTACTCCTTTTATTACCGTTATTACTTTGGTTTTTCATATGTTCGTGGTTATTTCTTAATAAACTGTAGAGGATAATCATTAGTTATTAAGGATTCTTTCATGTGTTATCTCGGTGGAAACAACACTCACTGAGAGGCAGGTAGATTCAGTTGACGAGTCCCAAATAATAGGAAATGCACATCCTGGATTCCACTGCTAGCCACTATCCATCTTTACCAGATTCTTTAATATGTTTCAATTGCTTGTTTAAGTCGTTGCACTACTGACTAGTGAATGTTTTACATTGGATGAAATGACCTGAAGTTTAGATGCCTGTTGGAATGTGTTGGTTACTTGTAGACAGTAGGATCCAAGCCACCGTCTGTCCTTCGTTTTATCCCGCAATCCAACATAGGTAATTCTGGTATCCCTCTGGAAGCATGTCACTAACGAGCACCATACAGTAGTGTATTTTGGGTGAATGGTGCTCATTAGTGACTTGCTTCCAGAAGGATATCACGAAGCTCTAATGAGAAGCCGTGACTTGTGGGGTCAACCAGTCGGATGTGAAGTGGATGCTAACTGAAGACCTTGAGTGACAGTCACGCTATGTCGTGAATTGACAGAATTTGAAAATTGTGAACCACTGGAAACCGACCCAGTGCTGAATGGCTAACGCGTTCGCCGTGAAGCCTGAAGGTCCTGAGTTCGGTCCGTAGCCGGGTCGTGGGTGCATATTGCTGAGGAGTCCCATACTAGGACGAAACAGCTGTCCAGTATTCCCAGATTTTCACTGGTCCCCCAACTGATGTCAATCCATGATGAATACTACTTCTAAATTAAAAATCCCCATTCATCTCAAAAATGCATAGGTACTTCTCTTTGTTCATTGTCTACCTCGTCATCAGTGAATTGGATTTATATGTGTGAGGAAACTGTCGATATTTTCATCGAATCTACACCCAACACATGCGGAATAAGAATGATGCAACTCCTATACCAGAGATTAAAAAACTTTACTACCAATAAAAACAAAGAAGATGAGATGGGTAACAGGACTATGAAAATCCGGTGACGAAAGTTGTGTGATTACATTGATATGATTATGAGTAATTTATACTCGAAACGTCACCTAAGTAACTAATACTGTATGAAATTACATTCTACCACAGTAACCAAGTTTTACCCTTATATTAACGATATATCCTTCTTCTTGGATCGCACTGTAATTATCAGTATTTCTCCTAAACAGGAGGAGATTAACAAAAGCTAACGCATATGTCTTCCAAATCCATCTACAAGATATATACTTGACACCACAATGGATTTCATGATCTATGCAAATCAATCAGCCTTAAACATTAGAACATGAAATGCGTGACTCAACGTGGCCTGTTCCCAATCATAATATGCTGAAGTGTACAACTGGTTTGATGATCAAATTATACTAGAATTATTCACATTGGCGGTCTGTGGGGGGATTTATCGATTTCAGGTTGGTATTCATCATGGGCGTCAAAGCCAGGATCGGAAAAGCATGACAGGAGTTCATTAACCTGAAACTAGTGTGGAGACCTACTGCGCTGTACTGCACTAAGCATAAAGCGTGAACAACATCCGCATTTTCAACACCAACGTCAGTCAAGTCAGTGCTTCTATGTGATGGTTCAGAAACTTGTCGCATCACGAAATGAATTTTCAACAAACTACAGATATTCATCAACAACTGTCTACGCTGGCTCCTTACTGAAGATCAGATGACCAGAATGATAAGAATAGGAAACAAGGAATTCTAACCTGGCAGCGAACCAAACAAGTACCTATGGCCTAACAAATATGCAGAAGGAAGTGGAGATGGATTAGGCATACATTGAGAAGACTGATTGGGGACATTACAAGCCAGGCCAGATCGTCTAGTGGAATCCAAAGGGAAAATGACGAGTTGGGCGTCGTAGGCGAGGGTAACATGGAGGAGATGATGTGAGGAAGAAATGAGAGCTTGTGGGCAGTCGTGGCGCCATGTGAAGAAGACTGCAGAGAATAGAGTGTACTGTAGATGTGTTACTGAAGCAGTATGCTCCACTAGGAACCCAAGTGACAAATAATAATAACAATAATAATTCATCATGGACTGGCATCATTTGGAGAAATATCGAAAACCCGACAGCACCAGACAAGCGTTTGTTTTCCCTAATATGAGAATCAGCTATGCACATTCATGACCTTATCCCACCAGGGTTCGAACCCAGAGGCTTCAGTTTCCATCCATAACAAGTTACCATTTAGCAAATGGGTTGGAATCCACTGGTCCATATTTCCTACTTGTGACAGTTCATGATATAGCATAACCTCTATCCAATTCCATCATTGCGTAACTGTCTTCATGTTCAACTTAGTTGACACAACTTGTTACAACTTCAAGAAGGTGTATAGGAATTTAATTTTTTGATATTAAGTTAGTATTCACCTTGAACCTGAATGTTTTATGTTCAATCCCAGGTGAGGTTTTCAACAGTTCTCTGTATGATGTCAACAACTTGAAATCAATAAATAAATCCCTACGAAATCGTTAAATGTTCAATATACTTTCAATGATCAATTTTTAATTTATTTTTTTGTTTATTTATTTTTCTATTTTTCTAGAAAATGTTTATTTTAATCGGAATAGGATGTGGTATTCTTTTAATCATATTAATTATTATACTATCGACAGTAATTCCAAGAATCAAGTAATTATGATGTATTGTGTTGTTCAATTGTATGTAATAGAAATCGATGACTAATAAATAAGAATTATATTGTTTCTATGCAGATGATGAGATATAGTTTTTTTGTACGAAACAATTAGTGTTTATTTAATTATTAGTTGGTCAATTTGTCAATAATTTTGATGATGGTATTTTCAAATTTTTTTTAATGAACGCGCTTTGTATGTTCAAATTTCAATCTCTATGATGATTTTATTTTATAATAACCCTTTACTTGTAAACAAGTAAGTACAAGTAAACAAAAGTTTTGTAAAACATGAGATTATGATTTAATTGATCATATGAACAAAATTGTAATATTATATGGGTTAAGAAGTAATATGAATATGCGTGTATATAGAAATATACATGTACAAAGAGAAAAAGAGAGAGAGAGAGAATAATGTTGTATTCCTTTCAATGTTCAATTCTAATCTGATTGGAGTAATCAATGAGAATTTATAAGTTAGTTGAACAAACCAAGAAGAACAGTGGTAGTATTTCTTGAACCATGAGGAGCAAGAAGATGAGCATACGCTGTCTGAACCGATGAAGAGACCCTAGGAGATTTGGATGTCCCTGGTGATGATTTATGTCTAATATCTTGTCGGAAAAACTTGAAGATCTACAGGCGAAAACTAATAAGTTGATAGAAGAGGCAGGACAACGAAGATAGGACTTCCTTCAGGTGAACGTAGAGAAGACAGAGGTGATGAAGATACCCAACCAACGTCAAAAACAAGCACCAATCACCATCAATGGGAGAAACCTAAAGGAAGTAGTGTCTTTCACCTATCTAGGCAGGGTAGCATCGTTTCAACTATAGGCGGCACAAACACAGGTGAGGATGTCAAAACCGGGATCAGAATGACAGCAAGACAGGCTTTCATTAATCTGAAATCACTGTGGAGATCTACTGCACTGAGTACAAAGCGTGAACAACATCTGGATTTTCAACACCAACGTCAGTCAAGTCAGTGCTTCTATGTGATGGTTCAGAAACTTGATGCCTTACGAAAAGTCTTTCCAACAAACTACAGATATTCATCAACAGCTGTCTATGCTGGCTCGATACTGAAGATCAGATGGCCAGAATGATAAGAATAAGCAGCAATAAACTCTGGGAACGAACCAACCAAGAACCTACCACCCAACAAATATGCGGTGGAAAAAAGTGGAGATGATTGGGCATACATTGAGAAGACTGATTGAGGACATTACGCCCCAGGTCAGGCTGTCGAGTGGAATCCAAGTGGAACCGACGAGTTTGGCGTCGTAGGCGAGGGTGACATAGAGGAGATGATGTGAGGAAGAAATGAGAGCTTATGGGCAGTCGTGGCGCCATGTGAAGAAGACTGCAGAGAATAGAGTGTAATGGAGATGTGTTACTGAAGCAGTATGTTCCACTAGGAACCCAAACGGACAAATAGTAATAATAATACCAGAATATAATGTTTACGATAATTTTAAAGATGCATGTTGTACAACGTACTTCCATAAATCAATTAGAGTGTTTCGATTGAGATGGAAGGTTATACACAGAGATTTAGGTTGGCTAGGACTGATGAAGTTGTTGGGATTACTCAATGGTTAACTATCGATCTAGATAAGTGGACGGGAGTTATTGTAGTAATGATAGAAATTGTATCATGGTTAAGTAAGTGTACTAAAAGGTTGTCAATAAGTTCTCATTACATCGAGTAATAAGTAAAGCAAGATCACTTTGAATGATTTCAATACGCCGACTTTATGTCCAGTATCGTGATTTAACTTCTTTGAGACATGCTTGGAAATATGGACAAGATGCTTTCTCTCTGTTCTTCCGATGTATATGCTTTGACAAGTACATATGAATTGGAGATAATAAGATTTGGGAAGTTTTCCACTTTGGACAGTTTCAATGAGTATTTTTAATCTGGTACACATAGACAAAATTAGTGGCTAGATAGCTCTTTCTTAGAGTAGCACTTAGTGATAATTTCTTTATCTTTGAAAGCAAAGTGTAGATAGACATGCTTCTTGTCAACTGTACTCCACATAGTTCTTTTCTCGTCTATCCTACCATATTTGTTAATCAACTTTTGTTGGTAACTATTTTCGTAAAAACAATGTTCAACAATCATCAATTCTCGGTCAACCTAAATCTTTATCACCTTCTATATCAAAGTATATTGCATAACAAGTTTTTTATTATAAACATCATAGGCTTGAGAGCGGTTGTTGTGGTGAATCCATGAAATACATGCAGCCTAATTCTACTACTGTTATTCTTCTGGGCTTATATGATATTTATAAAATGGAAGAACAGTATGAACTAATGGCGTACACCTACAGTTATATGAGATTAACAAGTGTGGAATCTAGGACATCCGTTTCGTCCTATTTCGGGCTTGTCAGCTGAGTATAACTAAACCCCGGAGATTGATTCTGTTGTGGTGGAGAACCAAACACAGTACCCTCATTGCTTCAAACACCAAAGTTTCATCCACTACCCCCATTAGGTGATACATGATGCCCCATCTGTACGGTGGGTATCAGTTATCGTTTATTGATACCTTTATTTTCTTATTGCTACACTTGATCGAATTGCTCGACTTCCGATGACTGACTGATGACGGTTATTAAACGTCAATAAGTATCATAAAACGAAGTGGACATGTTCTACTAAATTTTTCTTGAAAAAGTAATCAAAATGAAATTAACTAGAAAAAATACAAGAGATTAGGAATTATTTCACATTTCAGTAACTTAGTTATAACACTACTGTATTCCATTTAACAATGAAACAATTTTTGATCTGATCTTCTACAAATTTCAGCAAGTAAACTACATTGAAGTTCAGAGTGAAAACTGAATAATTGTTCAGTATTGTTATAATTGTTTGTTTGACTTTTAAACTATATCTACAAGTCATCATCTTGGTTACCGTATATACGGTGCCGTGTACGTATTGGTGGTATAGTATGAAGTAAACTATACTGTAAGGCTAAATTTGTATAGCTAAAATATTCAAGTTTAATATTAGTCAGAATAGTAGAACTGCATGGGAATATAAAAAAAGTATTCAGAAGATAATTATAGATGATAATGAGAAATTTTTTTTATTCCAGTTTTGGCTATTCATCACAGATTTACATACTTTGGAGAACCACTGAAAACCTGAAATCACTAGACAACTTTTTTGTCCTACTGTAATAGTCCTCAGCAATGTGTAGCCATAACACTGCTATACTCTTCTACGGATCGAACTCAGGACTTCCGTCAGTTCGCGTTATAGCGTTATTTTTATCCAATGCTATCGTTGACTATTTATCTCTACGTTTGACTTTGTTTGCTTCCCCGCTCATGTCATCAGTTGACGAAGTTATGAATCTTCATCGACTGAGATGGTTTGGACATGTATTACGTATGCGTAGTCACCGATTGCCTCATCACACAATGTTAGCCAAAGTAGGTCCAGGCTGGAGAAAGGCCTGACTGAGGTGGCCAGACTAAAACATGGCACCAATACATGAAGTCTCTAACTGTTTGTTTGAGCCATCTAAGGCGATGCACACTAGACAAGACGAACCAGTGGCTGGAGACTCTAGGGGATATGGCTCAGAGTTGATGTCAGTGGCGCAGATGTATACACACACACATATCTTCATCTTAACGACGCTATACCGATTCTCACCACTTTCTTTCACCTTACTACCATTCTACTTGATGTACTGATATGAGCTGTAGCAACTCAGACCGTTATGTAGTAATGCCTGGTCCTATGTTGATATTGATGATGACCGGTCATATCTCTTCACTAGAACTTCGAAAAATCTCATAACGAAACCTGAAAGTTCTGAGTTCGACCCCTGACGAAATCATGAGTATGCACTGCTGTGGATACCCATACTAGGACGAGAAGGCTGTGCAAGCTTACAGCTCTAGAGAGAAACAGAAGCCAGTTGATGAAGTTTTAAACCTCAAACGACTTATATATCCCCATTAGATAAGTTGTGAAATATGATGTGACGCGTAGGCTTGCTCTGGAGAAGGTTAAATGTGGTCAAACTAAAACATGGCATCAGTTCAAGAAGTTCTTGACTGTTGGTCTTATCCATGTACGGAGATGTAAACTCAGCTTTCAGGCTCTACCCGATAAATGGAATTGGTGGTTGAAGATTGTATGCAATGTGGCTGATAGCAGACGTATGCACTCATTACCTTCCTTTTGATCGTCACACTGAATTTCATCATTAATTTATTCCTCCCTAGTCTCTTTTCATAATTATCTATCACGTTTGACTACCTTCATCCTAATTTCCCTATCTTTAGTCCTTGTGCCTTCTACCTTAATTTGCTGAGTTGAAGTTTGGAAAATTGGAGTGTGGTTCATTAATCCTACTGTGATACTGACTGACTGACTGACCTTTCCGGTGTTCGACAGAGATGATTATGAAACTTCCTAACTGCTTGATCTGTATTATATGGTAAACTAGAGTTAAATTATAATTCACTCGCCTATCTTTCTCATTGTCCGGAAGGTGAAGTATATTCCAGATTTCGGTAAATCATTTCAAGGTTTTTCACCATCAACACCGTGAACAATGGTTTCAAAGTCGATGACCAAATTTTATGACTGGTAGTGTGACCCATCAATCTACGACCGATACCAACCTAACCTGCACAACGAATCCTCTATAAACACTGAAAAGAACGTTAACCAGCACCACAACAACAAAAGCAACAATACAACCAACACGTAAAGACAAAATGAGAAGACAGACCGTTGACAGAGACCTTTTTACTGTTTCAACAACAGTTAACACAGTTGACAGAGATGCTGAATATAAACATTTTTAAATGACCTTGACAACAGGAAATCTACATTTAGGTTAAAAGAGTTAGCAACCAGTCAGAGTTCAATCTTCAGAGCAGTAGGAAAACAAAAGATGATAATGGTGTGAAAAACATCAATGATCTAGTTATTTTGAAGTAATAAGCAAGCATCAGGCAAAAGTAATAAAAACACCAGCGGTATAAAGTAACTAAACACATGTATTGTCTCTGAGGTGCATTCCTTCTATGGAAACACTGAATAGGCTTAGAATTCTATCTTCACAATATTAACACCGGTAATAACAACGTCACTATCATCCTAATTAACACCTATATCACTAATCCTAGTCATATCAGTCGTACGATTCATAAATAACTAATCAATTAATTTGTAAGTGTAATTGTTAATGAGTAAGGTGACATTAATGTATCTAGTTTATTGTCCCACATCTGATTAACTAGAGAGGATATTTTGGCCCTCGTACTCATATTCAAAAATTTAGTGATTGGATGCACCATCTTCAAGAACTAGGATATCCACAAAGCGACATAGATTGCAGCAGATGGAAAC